TGGGAATCTTACAAGACCAGCCTGGTTTTCCAACCCTGGGCTTCAAAGGACACGGGCATATGAGACCCATATTCTTCTCTTGCAGTACAACTCAAGACAAAATAAGTTAGTGTTGGACAGAAGTCTAAATTGTATAATATTGAACAAAAGACCCCAGGGGTCCTTTTGTTTAAATTAGCACCAATCTGCACCTGACTGTCTCCAACATCAGTCTTCCTGGTGACCCCCGCTGTTGGCACTTGGGCTGTTAAATCTTTCTGTTTTCGTGAGGCTTCCTACACTGGCTAAGCAAACTGCACGCCTAAACTCTATGAAGTGTGGCAATGTCAACCTGGGAAATAGCACATTTAAATAATTAAATGCCCTGACTCGGGCTTGCCTTTCTGTGTGTCTTTCCCCAACCCCTGTCCTAGCTGGCTCTCTGCAGATGTTTCAGTGACAGTGGTAAAAGTATATTAAAAAAACGCATCGAAGGGGTTTCACGGTAAGCATGTGTTTAAAGACAAAATTAAACAATGGGGTGGGGGTGGGGCGGGGATGAGAGAATGTGGCCGCAGCTAAGGAGAGTTTCACATGTTGTTTAGCTCCAGTAAAGTCTGGTCCAGCATCTGGTGCATACTAAGGTTTTCTTCTTTGGCATGAGCCACTTTCTCTGTGATGGGATTAGAAAATTGAGTCATGAATAGCCGAGCTTTACATTCGGGAGTGGTTTGTACATTTAGTAAGCAAACATCAGTCACACACAGATGAGTGGCACTACACATGCTTTTGGACATCACTCGAATCTACACAAGGCCCCGGGTGTGCCTACACCTGCAACCCACCCTGACGTAAAGTGCAGGGTGTGTTTGGTGAAGGCTCACCCACTGCGTGCTATGGGAACAAGGGAGGGTCAGAAAACCAAATACAGGTACAGCACTGTTACACAAACCAGAGACATTAATACCAGCACAGGATTCTGAGTTACAGGCAGGTAAAGATCTGGTAGCTGTCTGTGCCAGACAGAACACAGCCTCCCAGAAAACAAAGATGGCATAAGGAAGGTTCTGATCACTTTTTTAAATGGTTTATTTCTACTGCTCACAAACGGTTATGCCAACACGTCTCATGCACACTTCATTAGGACATTCTCTTAGTATTTTTATAGCATCTCACTTATTAGCAGGACACGCTCATCAGATTCTAATACTGTTAAGCGTCACGAAGCCTACCTTTCAACCAGGGCCTTCTGGTGCGAGCTTCTGCTTTCAAAAGCTACTTTGCCCAAGCATAGGCACACTGAATCACATTTCAAACACTATACATGTTCTAAAGACATTAGGAATACAAATTTGTAAGAGATATTTAAAGCAGGTCTCATAGCTTAGAGGAAATAGAATTTTTTTTTCCTTTTTTTTGGGGGGTGGGGTGGGGAGCCCTCATTATCAATCAGTTCAAAGCTGAATTGATTGGTATAAATATGTTCATATATACACAATATATCATAAAAACTTCATGGCTACTGAGGATTTAATGAAGATACACAGAGGAAAATGCAAGCCAGGCAGGCCTTGCAGCCAAGGCCTTTCCTTCCCATTTCTCCAGAAAGTTATCTTTTTTTTAACCCCACGAGTCATAGATTTTTCTGAACATGGACTCCACTCCTAGAACTTGGCCCAAGTTTTTAATCCTCATTCAGGGCCAGCTTTAGTTCGTTAGTTAGGCGGCGGTTTTGTTCGAGTTGATGGTAGAGTTGATCTGGACAGGTCAGCAAGGGTTAGCAGAAAAGAAGAGGCAGAAGGAAGAGGTTAACTAGAGTCAGTGAGAGACAGTTAACAGACTGGGAACACGATTCGCAGGACAGCGGTGGGGTACCCTGACCCCAGGCCCTCTGCCCTGTGCCCCCAAGGGTACATGGTAAGGTCCGGCAGAATAAAGGAGAGGCCGGAATCTTTCCTGGACGTAGAGCGGAGGCAGAGAGGTGAAGGATGCACGGAGGAACCAAAGCTCCTTCTGCACCTCCGTCAAGCCACCCAGTGAACTCAGTTACGTGTAGTTTAGGACAACAGATTTGGGGACTGAGGCCAGGCTGGAGGCCAGTCCCAGCCACTCACACCTTGTTGGAGCTCAGCGGAGATTCTAGGTGAGCCTCCTGACTAGTTCATTTCTGTACGCTCTTCCTGAACCCTGTCCTCTCTGCTTGGGCTGCTGCTGAGCTGGTGCTACCGTTTCTGCCCCGTGGACAGATTTTGGAAAACTCTCCATCTCTCTCTCCCCCACCCCCATATCAAGGCACATACTGAACTCTCTCCCGACTTCGATAGTGTGACCCACAGCAGACAAGCATTTATCTCCACCCCACACTGATTCATAGCTTATCTGTGTGTTTCAAGAGGATGACATTCATGCTGGGCGCTGATGGGCATGCATAAGTCAATAAAACTGGGCCAGTGAGATGACTCATCGGGCAAAGGTGCCTGTCGCAGAGCCTGATGCAAGAGTCTGATCCCCAGGATCTACACGGTGGAAGGGAAACGCCGACTCCTACAAGTTACCGTCTGACTTCACATTGTGCTCTGAGAACCCCCCAACCCCGAAAAGCCAAACTAACCTCCATCCTTGCCTAGCGGGATACAAACTTTATGTACTGTCATGGGATCCCAATTGGGTGGCAAAGCAGTCCACCACGGGACTCTGCCTCTGTCTGAGGATCAGGGACACCTGGTGACAGATAAGACTAGCACACACTAGGGATACTGGCATGTGTGACTACTCTGAATGACAGTGACTCCATGGACCTGGACATTCTACTTGGTGATCTTGGAGAGCTAACTATCCTAACTGCCTACTGGTCAACCCCAGCTTCCATCAACTTCCTCCCATAGAAGACAAGGGAAACTGCTGTGGGCCTTGTGTTTGCTGTGTACAGTGAAGACCTACGTTCAACCCATGCCTTTTCCTCTTATTTAAGTTTTCTGAATGTTCAAAACTTTAGTCAGCTCTCGTCTCCTCCAGGCAGGCCCAGTGAAACTTTCTGTTCTCTGTTGGCTCAAAACACACAATATCCACCAGCGTATACTCACCTCGCTCCTCTGTTCCCACATATGGACAGCTTAGGGAGGACAAAGAGCACACCTAGCTCAGCTCCTCCCATACCCTGCTACCTTCCAGTGCCTCCCACAACCTTAAGAGGTTGCAAAAGAGAAACCACATTACTATACCCACAGTGTCATGATGGGAAACTGCCACCATGACAGCCAACAAGACACCCCATTTGCAGAACCCAAATGTTTAGCCATTCGAATAGAAGAACACTGGAGAATCCAGGAGTTCAGCTTACACCCCAGCGTTCCCCGTCTCAGCCTACTTTGGGCCTTGTTCCTTCTAGCTGCAGGGGAGCTGGTGGACTGGGGTGACCTGAGGGCACCCTCCTGCTCTGCACAGATCTCAGCTGTCTTGAGGCCTCAGGTCTCAGAGCAGGCAGTGCTGTCTTTTTGGGCCAACTGAGGCTCTAGGAAGAGTCTCTGATACAGGTTGGCCTTTGTTCAACCAGAAGCCTGTTAAACAGACTCCTGAGAAACTCAACTTGCTGTCTACGCTCTTTGGGGACTCGGGATCTGCTTTTATGATCCACCTCAGGTTCCATTTCTCCTGCAGTGAGCACTCATAGAAAGTGTGAGAAATCTCTGGGAGAACCAAGAAATTTGTACCCCAAGATGCACGAGACGGCTCAGCAGATCACTCGGAAACCATTGCCGTTAGTCTGAATTTTAAAAAAGAACCAGGTTCCTAAATCATAGTGAGAAACAGACCCAAGGAGCATCAGGGAAAGGAAAAAAAACCAGAAAATTGCTGAAGCCTTTGCAGCCTTCAGTGGAGAGACACTGCCTGGATCCTAAAATTAGACTCTACCATGCTGCTAACTAAAATATTTTAACTCAACCCCTCCACCCCCCCCTTTTTTTTTTTTTTAAAAAATCTCTGCTCTGAAGACTTCAGAGTAAATGACTATTTTCAGAGTTTGCTTAAATTTACTTGAGGAGAGTGGTGTGGCGGCTCTATTAGGTTAACGAGTACCATACACGAGACAGATGAGGGTTGCTCATGCTTAAAACACTGGAGAACAGAGCCAGGCTGATGTAAGAACCAAGAAGCTAGAGGCCACACTGTTTCCAAGTTCTAGTTACAAAATAAAAGTTATGGAATTGCTGTTCGGGCCTGAAATCTAGCACTGTCCCTTGGTGGGTGGCGGTGAACCATCTGCAATGGAGCAGAGACAAGGGGGGACTCGTCTTACAGAAGCACACCATCGGCAGAATACAGGGTGGAGGCGGCTCAGCGGTTAAGAGCACTGACTGCTCTTCCAGAGGTCCTGAGTTCAATTCCCAGCAACCACATGGTGGCTCACAACCACCTGTAATGGGATCGGATGCCTTCTTCTGGTGTGTCTGAAGAGAGTGACAGTGTACTCATACACATAAAATATATAAATCTTTAAAAAAATGAAAATAAAAAGAACCTTGAAACAAAATACAACTCAAATTTAGTGAGACTCAGAATCCCTATGATGTCATTTTTGTGTTCAAGACGAAGGTGTCTGTGTAATGAATATACTTAAAGGAAAATAAAAGCTTCAACTAATCTCTGTGCCTTGACACAGAGAGGGGCCGTGTCCCAAACTACATTATCGGCAGCGTTTGAAAACGTTGCTCAAACCAGGATTGGACTCCCACTGTCTGCTCTTGTGGAGGGTTCTGATCCTAAACTGCACGTCAGAACCACCCCACTTCCCAAAGCCATAGCTACCTGGTCCTCACTCTAGCACCTGGAAACCACAGCTCAGAGGGGCACAGGGATGGGCAGCATTCTTAAAAGCTGTATATGGAACTACTACTTTAAAAATTCCTGGTGGTATATAATGTTAAAAAAAAAAAAAGAACCCTTAATGTGTGAAGCAGAACTGTAGTTTTACTGAGCGCTGAGCCGGAAGAAATAAGGAGTAAAAGAATAGCAGACAGGAATAGCGTACAGTGTTTATTTTACACTGGGCGGATTGCTTCCGTACAATAGAAAGCACGGTCTGTGCCTGGCCCTAAGGTGGGTGGGCACTAAAAAGAAACCTGGGTCAGCTGGAGAGCAGACAGATGCAGAACTCAGAGAGGTGGGGCATCCAGCTCGAGGGAGGAGTCTTGGGAGGAGTGAAGCAAAGAAACTTATCTGCATGAAATAAAAACGTAAAAGAGGCATAGTGGAGCAATGGAAAAGGGAAAAAAGGAAGAAAACCAAACACGATAGCAGTAGTTGACATGCAAGCAGGTGTGAAGCCGTGTTAAATAAACCCACCGCCAGCAGCACCTGGGGGAGGCCTTCCTCAGCAGTGACTGCCTAGACCCCAGGCTGCCATGGGCCAAGCCTGAGGAAGAGCCATGAACATAACTTCAAAACAAAGTTTAAGCTAAATCCTCCTTTTGGGGTGGGTATCCATCACTCTCGAAAGAGTTCTCCCCGTGGAGTATGCCATTTTGTTGATCTGGAGGACTGACTATAGATAGGCTGCTTCCACTCTTTATCAATGGTGGAGAAGAGGCCTACCCTTGTTTCTATGGTGACAGCCAGGTCTCTACAGGATGTTTTGGAACCTCCAAGGCAGCAGGCCCATGTTGCAGTCCTGAAGTTACTGTTTCTGACTGGTTAAAGGAATGCTATTCCCAGCTTTGATGGAACCCAGCAGGGTTAGAAGGGAGAAGAAACACTCCAGGGGTTAGATTCCCAAGTGGCACAAATACAGTTAGTAATATGTAAATTAGCTCTGTATGTGTGAGGGTCCCCAAACAGCTATTACTGCCTCCCAAAAGTAAAATATTGACCACTAACTTCCAAATTCGTATTGTATAAATGTTTTATTTTTTGCTTCTCTGACGTAGGTTGAGGAAAGTATTTACTGTGGGGTATTTTATTTTCATTCAATATAAACATATCAAATAGAAGAGTTGATTCCTCAGGAGACCGCTCATTTTTGCTCTGGAATTCTTTTGTGTCTTTTTCTAAAGACAGGGTCTTACTATATAACCCTGGCCGGTTTGTAACTTGCTAGAGACCAGTCTGGCCTCAAACTCAAGAGATATACCTGCCTCTGTTTTCCACATGGTGGGACAAAAGGAATGTACCCCATGCCCAGCCCTGCTCTGGAATTCATAACAAGGGAAGGGGATATTTTTATTGGGTCATTGCCCATCTCCTTTCCCTCAGATCCTCAATAATCTGATATTTTAAACTTGCAGTTTTAACTGAAAACGACCCTATTGTACCTCACAGAATCCCAGGAAACAACCTGGGATTTCTTCCTAACTTCCCGCACCACTGTATCATGGGTTCCTAGTTTTACTTGAGTCTGGTTTAAGGTTTGAAAAGGAGATACTCAGGGCCCATTCGGAGTCCAGGTCCTCTCTGGGCAGAAGCAAGCTAGATCTGCATTTATGAAATAAAAGGGTTCTGAAATGGTTTGCATGGACCGAATCCACTTGGCCTTTGTTAGCACATTGTGAAAAAAGATAACCTATCCTAGGTTATGCAAGAGAGCCGACAAGAGGTGCAGAAATGGAGACGACGGAAGGAGAGGGGAGCCATGGTGAGGCCATCACACAAGCATGAGGGGGAGGGTGCGAGCAGGCAGGGTGCATGAACATTTACATGGAAGTCATATCGTTGAGAGCGTGGTCCAGCTCCTCGCTGATGGCCTTGTACTTCAGTTTCTGAGCATACAGCTCGTCTATGAGCAGGAAGTGGAAGGCAGAGGTGCAAGGACAATGGAGAATGGTCAAGAGACGGAGGGTGAGCAAGGGTGGCGCGGGCGCCATCCCCACACGGCAGCAAGGAAAAGGCAGTGCGTGAAGGGGTTGGTGCCGCAGCGGATGGCCAATGCAGGAGGCGTGTGATTTGTTTTTAAAGGAATTGAAACAAAAACAAAGAGAACAAAAACCCATTAGAAAATAAAATAAGAAAGACCCAATATGAAAAACACAACACCAAGGGTGGGTAATCCCAACGAGACGCCCACAGAAGACTGCCTCTCCTGATGGGGAATGGAACAGCTTTCTTTGTACAAAGCTGTCAGTCAATTATACTGGAATAATCAGCCACTGGCAGCTATAAACTATGGGGAGATAGCCAAAGGCAGCCAAGTTCAGTTTGCTGTGACAGTCTGCAACGCTACCTTCAAACCACTCACTTCCTGCCCAAGCAAGAGCAGGAGATACTGACTTCTTGGTGGCACTTAAACTATTCCCACGGTCCTCCCTTTCAAGCCACCTGTTGCTAGTACCAGAGGCTTGAAAAGCAAAGGCAGCCACCATTTGGGGCTATCACTGCGGCTTGTCTGCGGTTTAGTTTTTTTTTAATGGTGTTGGCTTTGTGTTTTGCACCCACACGCGGCTCCCTTCTCTCACACACTGCAAGCTTACACCCACACGACGCTCCCTTCTCTCACACACTGCAAGCTTACACCCACACGACGCTCCCTTCTCTCACACGTCTTGCTTTTTGTTGTTATTTATTTTTCTCCAACCCCTTCTGCCTGTGATGTATGGGGTGTGTGTGTGTGTGTGTGTGTGTGTCTGTGTGTGTTTGGTTGATGTTGTTTTATGGGTGTAAGCAATGCTTAAGTATATTTCTGACACTCAATGTCCTAATGATGACTACCCTCTACCCTTTCAAAATATAGAATATTCTGCCAATGAATGACTTAAATCAAGCCCTTCTTCTGGGGTCACACCTGGAAGATGGGCTGCGTCTAAAACCAATCCACACCGTTCTGACAATTAGGAGATAGTGCCAGAGATACAGAAAATCAGAGTCACATTCATCTATAACTACTTCACTCAGGGAAAAGCAACCCAGACCCACTACTAAAGTGCAAGAAGTTAGACAGAAGCTGACGGGCAGCTAAGTCACTCCAAGAACTGAGGACTCGGGTCCAAGAGTTTCAGAGTTAACAGATGAGAGGACAGTCAGACAGGAAGTGTGACAACAGACAGGCGTGTCCTGGTGGAAGCCTTCGGATTGAATGACTGTTTTATCAATAGAGTTATAGTTAACCATAGGCCTGAATTTAAAATATTAAAGATCTTACCTTCTAAGTCATCAATGCTTTTCTCCAATTTGGTTACTGATCTCTCTGCAAACTCAGCCCGAGTCTCAGCCTGTAATGATTTAATTCATTTGAGTCAAGGTCACAGAAATCCCATCTCGAAGCTACAGATACAGGGAAAACCAGGAGAAAACTCAAGTGTGTCCATCCTGGGAGATGTCAGGTTCGGTTCCTACTGTGAACGACACAGCTAACTAACTCCACAAGCACCAAGAATACATCTTGGACCATGCACCTCCAAATGACAGTACTTTGACCCACTCCACAGACCCTTAATCACAACCCAGCCAGTTTCCCCCAGGCTCTCTCTCTTTCTCTCACATTACCTCCTTCAGCTTGTCAGAGAGAACCTTGATCTCCTCTTCGTATTTGTCTTCCTTCTGAGAGTACTGTAATTAGAAAGAGTAGTCCAGATGTCAGGCTGCGGCCCTCACACTCAGGCCTGCTCACACGAGGAACGTGCCAGCCCAACCAGCAGATGTTGGGATCTCCTAGCAGGTAACAGAAGCTCGGGTATCACATGGCACACGACAATACATTCTCTGCTTTCTTGCCTATTGCTTTACATGGGATAAGAATGAGATAACTTACCCACTTGGCACTTTGTTTAAATTAAATTGGTGATTTACCCAACATAAGATACATTCTCTGCTTAACTTTTTTTTAAAAAACAAAACAACAACAACAAAAAAACAAATCCTACTATCCAATAACCATTAGAAAACTGCCTCAAGATGTTGTCCCTTACTAAAATGCCTCCTGTGCCATTACTGTCACCACTGGGGCCTCTTTTGAGAAGTTCTTAAAAAGATGACTTTCCCACTCCAGGCTCCTGGCCTACCTTCTCAGCCTGAGCCTCCAGTGACTTCAAGTTGTTCGTCACCGTTTTCAATTCTTCTTCAAGCTCGGCACATTTGCTAATGTTTTCGATCAGAAGCAGAAAGGGTGGGAGAAGCCCAAGGGACGAGAAGAGAAAAAAAGGAGAGGGATGGGAAAAAGTGAAAACGGAGTCCTAGAGCCGGAGGGCCGCCTTAAAGGAGCCAAACCACCAGGTAGAAGAGCTTGGTTTTGCCATAGGGTCTGCCTTCCATTAGTGGAGGGGCAGAGAGATCAAATCCAGCATCTCCTGGGTGTGATGATTTGGCTTCTTATTGGCCACCCCTCGGAGTATTTATGAAGTGAAAAACAAAGAGCATCAAGGACCAAGAGAAAGCACTTGAAGCAAGATATAAGTAGCAGAGGCTGTAGTGAAGGTACAGTTATTACACCAAACTGACCAGTAGGCATTGGAAGCTCAAAGCTGTCTGGGATGCAGTTAAACCTAAGAACTATACGTGAGCCGTCAGTACCTTATCCTCTGCAGCCATTAATGCTTTCAAGGTCTGATCCATTATTCTTAATTGTTCTTCCAGCTGTCGAACTTGGCTGTTAGTGGACACAGGAAATGCACAAGGCCATTCACAAAATCAGTGCAGGTAAGGCATGCAGTGCCACACGCATTCACAGACACCCCACGTGGTTCCTCCGTGTTCCACGCTCATGGCTCATCCATGTCACACTGAGCGCACAAGGAGCCCGGAGCGGAGGTAGGTAAATGTGCAGCTGCCAGAAGGTCGTGCTGTTTAGTCAGCTGCTCTGCGGCACCCCCACGTGTGGTAGCAACGGGCCCTCTTACCCTTCTGAGAGCTCGGCCCGCTCCTCTGCACGTTCCAGATCGCTCTCAATGATGACCAGCTTACGGGCGACCTGAGGCGGGGCAAACACAGCAGACACGCTATGGGCTTGGCACTCTTCGTGTAGGGGATATATAATTTATAGAAATTATATGCATCGGTCCTAGGGATTCTTGTCTGAAAATGGAATGCTCCTCTTTCCATAGAGTAAAGAAGACAGGCAGCTCTCACTTGGCACACCGGAAGAGAGACCACGGCCCCTCTTACGGAGACCAGAATGGTTAGCTCTTCCCAGGTGGAGTCTACATAATTACAAAGCACCCAGGCCAATTCTCGGAATGAGAGAAATATAAAATCCGCAGTCTTAAAAATAGCAGGATGACAAGACATAAGAAGGCATTTTAGACTGAAAGGAAGGGGCTGCCCGGAGAGCACCACAAATAAACCCGAGGCCTGCACCACGCAGAGATCCACACCTCAGAAGGCAGGAGCCGGTGCGATGCCGGCAAGGTCAAATCTACAGTCGGATAAGCAGCCCCAGAGAAAAAGATCCTCCAAGGCAGCTCAATTCCTCTGTGCAGTGTCAGACAGCCATGAGGAAATACAGAAAAAAAAAAAGTCAAAAGAACCAACTGGAACCTACAGTCATTTTGGCTTTTATCGGGTTGTTTTCATGTGAACAACACCAGCGACCCCTTCACTGCAGAGCCTGTGCCAACAGAATTTCTACCACCCTGGAGAAACCTCTCTTAATCTCCCAAGGAACTGTGTGGTCCATGTTCTCTATGCCACAACAACAGGACAGCTTTCTTTCCTAAGGGCCCACCTCTCCTTGCTAAAGATGTTTTTGTCCCAGCCTTTAGGGTGTGGGGGAGTATTGATCTTTCTCCCAGTGCAGATGACTGGCTGGCTTATCACAGTAAGAACCAGTTTCTGCAGGTAAAGGAAGCCTGCTTCTCAGAACCACCCACTTCTATCAGGGAGGCTGACTGTTACACCCAGGGACACAGAGAGCATCCCACTCTCCCGCAGTCAAGGCTGGGGTTTGGTAAGGCTCTGGGCCCCAGAAACCGACCTCTTCATACTTCCGGTCAGCGTCTTCAGCAATGTGCTTGGCCTCTTTCAGCTGGATCTCCTGAATCTCCATCTTTTCTTCATCTTTTTGGGCTCGGCTTTCAATGACTTTCATGCCTCTGGAAAGATAGACAAGCAGGAAGACCCACGATGGAGAGAAGACTGCTGCTGTGGAATACGAGGCTCCACGCACACGGCCGACCGAGAGAGAGCAGACAGCCGTTCATGTTTCCACAGACAGAGCAAGCTTTTCCAGAAAAGACACACATTTCTCTCTGTTCGCTGTTAATGAGATCTTGGGGTGTGGTGAAACTTCCGGGTCACCTAATCTTAAGTGGAAGATGCTATGTCAGGATGCCATTTGAGTCTAGGAGGCACGGAAAGAAGGGATGCTAACATGCTTTATTTGTTAAAAGTAGAGATTCGCCACCTTCTCCTTTTTCCTAAGGGAAACCGTAGATTGAAATGGATGAAGAGCTGGGTGTGGTGGCGCACGCCTTTAATCCCAGCGCTTGGGAGGCAGAGGCAGGCGGATCTCTGAGTTAGAGGCCAGCCTGGTCTACATAGAGTTCCAGAACACCAGAGCTACACAGAGAAACCCTGCCTAGTAGGTGAATGAAAGGAAGGAAGGGAGGGAGGGAAGATGGAAGAAAGAAAAAGAAAGGGATAAACAGGTTTGGAGGACTGGATGCTATGGCATGGTGCTACAGTTCAGAAATGTTAACTGATCTAGAGTTTACAGATTTATGGCATAGACAAACCATAAATGGGTTTCACTTAGGAAGTAAGCAGTCGCCGGGCAGTGTTGGCGCACACCTTTAATCCAGCACTTGGGAGGCAGAGGCAGGCGGATTTTTGAGTTCGAGACCAGCCTGGTCTACAGAGTGAGTTCCAGGACAGCCAGTGTCTGTGTTTGCCCGCATGTATGTATATGCACCATGTGCATGCAATACCCTTAGATGACTGAAGAGGGCACTATAACAAATAAGCTCTATGTTCCTTCTCCTTTGGTCTTGTGCTGCCAGGTTGCCTTTAAAAGTTCAGTAGCAGGAAGAAGTCATTCACAAGGCTACTGCTAGTTGACATGCTAAGACACAATTAGTCACCTTAAAGAACCCCCAAGCTCTTGGCAAGTAAAGGAAAACTATGTGGTAGTGAATATGAAGCTGACAACTTTAGCTAACAAGTTCCTTAGCCCTAAAGTCTGCAGCAACTCCTCGTACCTGGTACCAAGGAGCAGAGGTTCACTTCAAAGTCATGGTGGAGAAATGGACCTTCACCTGCCCAGGTTCTAGCAGGAATAAGGAATGCCTGCACTGTTCTGGGTTTATTCTGCTGTGCCATCCCTCACCCAACAGAATGCTCTAGCTTCACGATGTCACACTTTGTGGCTTCCATGACAGAGTACAGAGGAAAAAAAAAAAAAAAACCCTTGCAGAATGAGTGAGGTGAGTTGTGCGTTCTGATGGTTAAAATGGATTGTTGGCAGGATCCAGAGTCACCAGTAAATAGACCTCCTGGCACACCAGTAAGGGATCTTCTAAGCTGGGCTAGTGAGGGTGGGGAGACCTGCTCTAACTGTGGGCAGTTCCACTCCACAGGTTAGAGTCCCTGACTAAACAAAAAGGAGAAGCTAGCCGAGCACTAGCTACTCCTTGCCAGACTGTGGACCCAGTGTGACCAGCTGCCTCGTGTTTCTGTCACACGAGGATGGGCTGTATCCCAAAATCTAAAGCATATCACAGATATGTTTTATCTATGTCTTTTCTTCTGTTTGACTACCATGGTTCTTTCCCCCCCTAGGTCTGAGACATCTTGGTAAATATATTATTTTATCTTTTTATGTGTATATATGTCTATGCATCATCACATGCATTCCTGGTGCCCACTGAGGCCAGAAGAGGGCATCAGACACCCTGGAACTGGAGTTATGGACAGTTGTGACCTACCATGCAGGGGCTGGGACTCAGACCAGGGTCCTTAGAAGAGCAGTCAGAACTAAGTGATAAGCCGTCTCTCCAACTCCCTTGGTGTGCATATGTATGTGTGCCATGAGTGTGCACACACCCAGGAGCTAGATGGTGTAGTCTTACCTCTCGCTCTCATCTGCAGCCTTCTCAGCCTCTTCCAGCTTCTGCAGAGCTGTGGCCAGACGCTCCTGAGCGCGATCCAACTCCTCCTCAACCAGCTGGATGCGTCTGTTCAGAGAAGCTACGTCAGCTTCAGCCTAGGCAGAGAATGAAAGACACTTTAGAGCTGGGGAGAAGAAAGTGAGGGTGGTACCTTCAGACACCGGCCAGGACTGAAGTGCTGGTTCCAGACAGGAAGTCTGGGCCCTGGTGTGAACTACTTCCAGTTATGACAAGCCCTGACTAACTCAAGTGCTCACACAGGAGCATCATGCTTGGAAATAGACAGCAGAAAAAAACACTCAGCAGACGGCCGGGCCGTCCTGGACATGCTCACACAGCCCTCTCAGCTGTTGGCCGAAGGGGAGCGTCCTCACAGCTCCCTGACACTGGTGTGGGTAGACACCAGGGCTTGTACGGGCTCAGCCACAGAGTCACCAGCAGGATGATCGGGAGTTGGAATGCCGCGTTTCATCATGTTGTCCTTTCTCTGAGTTATTTTCTCAAAGGAGCCTTATAATGAAACTGAATGTTTTAAAAATCCAGTGGTTTAAGAAACATACTAGAAAAACAAAACAAAACCCCAACAACAACAAAAAATTCCAAACAAAACAAAACAAACAAAGAAAAAAAATATACCATATGGAGATCTAATACCACCTAGAAACTTCCCCCTTTGCCCCACCCTTTAAGTAGCCTCTTTAAAATAGCTGGCCTCCCTGGAATGAGGCCAAGATAAATTTCCCAAGGGTTTTTGACCTAAGCTTTTTGGAATGTCTTAAAAGTCAAGGTTGCTACAAGAAAAGTTTCACAGACCTAAGGAGAAAAGCGATGCAGATACTGTTTTTCTTTGGAATTTAGGTTTAAATGAAAGTGTTTCTTTCTTGGGCAGGCCACGATTGCTTCCTGTTATAAGTACTTTTGCTCTGAAAATCCTTGCCTCACAGGGGTTGATCCCGGACTGCCTAGACGTGAAGGTGGCCCTTGCTAATTAGTTAGCAATTATGTATCCTCATTCACTCTGAATCTATGTTCATCAAAGGCTGAAGAGTCCTTAGGATATTTACGAGTCAATTTTCTAACAATGGCAATGCACTGGCTTTCTATGTATCTGTTTTTACTGAATTGCATGTTGTCATCAGCTCTCTACAAAGGCCTGGGCTCCATGAATGTCTACAGAGCTGAGCAACTAAAAATACCCTAATTAGAACAACAGAACCTTCCAAAGCTCAGGCGAGGACTGGAAATGCACGTGTAGTTTGAGAAAACCAGTCAAGGCCTTGAGTCACAGGAAATGAGACCATTCAGTCCCCTGCTCACCTAGATCTTGGCCGGTTTTATCTGGAGATGGGGAATGAACAGAGCATCTCCCGCCACCATGACTGACTGCAGTGTTTTTAAAAAATACATAAACATTTTAAACACACTTATCTCAGAGAAAAAAACTACAAAGTAGTGACTGGCTGCCCGCGGCAGGAAGTGGGGCCAGCGTGACATGAACTGGAGGCAGAGCGGTTACAACTGAACCAGTCCACAGGGTCAATCATTATCAGAAACCAGCTTGTAACTGGGCCAAACTGGGAAGGGTGTGAATGACTGGGCTTCTTCTTGAAGGCTGGGGGAGACAGAAATAATCAATTTCTTAACTCCCTTTGAAAAAAACCCCATTCATTTTAAAAACATTTATAATTTTTAAATTTTATGTGTATTAGTGTTTTGCCTACATGTATGTGTATGTATCACGTGTGTGCTTGCAAGGTTCATGGAGGTCTAGAACTGGAGTCAGGAGTTACAAATGGTTGTGAGCTGCCACATGGCTGCTGGGAACAGAACTCAGGTTCTCGACAAGATCAGCAAGTGCTTTCAGCCATCTCGGCCTCTTTAATGGGAAATACATACACATTAACACACATTGACACACATTAAAGCTATGGTTCAGAGTTGGGTTAAATTTCTCCATCTTGTATGTGTTTCACTTCTAGGAAAAACTCTATTCCTCTTAAAAACAGGGATGTGGGAGAGAAGACAGAAAGCCACCCAGAAATCTAAAACCAAAACAGAAAATTGATTGGGAATGGTGGTTTCAAACTCCCCCATCCTAACCCAGTTCTTTCTTTTCTGACACCAGAGTGCAAAGTTCTGGGCCACCTCCTAACACCCAATGCCCCAAATAGTCTAACCTCTATGGCTAGGCTCTGACCAGCATCAGGGCAGTTACTGTAAGAAGATCACCATTAGACAAGCCATTTCATTCATTTTTCTTTTTTTAAAAGGCTGAGAAGTACCTGTATGGATTCCTCTAGAACGGCTAGGCCATGTTCAAAGGTACCTTTCTTATCATAGTGTTATATAATAAAATTATTATCATTTACTGTTAGAGCAAATATCCTTGCTACAGCAGCTGTTGGAAAACCAGAGAAATCTGAGTAGGATTTTTTGTTTTGTTTTTCGAGACAGGGTTTCTCCGTATAGCCCTGGCTGTCTGGGAACTCATTCTGTAGACCAGGCTGGCCTCGAACTCAGAAATCCGCCTGCCTCTGCCTCCCAAGTGCTGGGATTAAAGGCGTGCGCCACCACTGCCTGGCTCTGAGTAGGATTTTTAAAAGACTTCAGTAGCATCAAATTCTAAGTTCCCCACACTGGAGCTGAACCTTGAGGACTTTATTTACTCATTCACAGGGTATCTGCTAATGTGCAGAGGCAGGATTGAATCACTGGGGCAGGAGGAGCACCAGGAGAAGCTCCATGTTCTTTCCCGCTTCTGTTAGGCATACAAGGTTGCCCTAATGAACTGGAGACCCACCCCATTCGATCTACGCTTCCTTCTCTTTGCCCCCAGCCCTTCTACATATTTTTCTTTTAGCTCTTGACATGGTCCAGCTGACTCTTGCTTTGTAAATATCCCTTACACTCTTCCCCCAGCATTTTTCTTAGAACCCTAAACTCTCTGACACTCAGGTTATTTAATGTCCTTCAACAAGACCAGCCAAGGTGGGGGTCTACACACAGGGTGCCTAGGCAGTGGCTGGGCTTAAGGACTTGCTCCTTTGGGCCAGTTTTGGCAGAGGGAGGACTGGTACATACAGGGAACACTCCTGGAAGAGACACTCAGCGTCTACAGAATGAAGCCCCAGTGTTTGAACTGCCACAGAACCTGGGCATCACACGGGAGATGTATGAATCCACTGGAGACGTGTAATAGAAACAGGGACTACCAGGTCCTGTGCCTAGGGATTACCATTTGGGTGGTCAGTGAGAAGAAGCAGGGACCACACTATAAACAGCAAGCCTTTCTCTGCTTCCATCACCACCCAAAGAAGCTGACAGTAACTGCAGGAGCTGCCTAGCAAACTCTCTACTATGAAAGAGGGAAGGACCTCTGCCCTAGTGTTAAGGCATTCTGGGAAGCACTCCACCAATGCAAGGCAAGGCAGGACTGAAACCCAAGCCCTCTGGCTTCTTAAATATGAGACTATGGAAGCTTCGGGACTGGTGGTTCTCACCCCTGGAGTCTTGCTCTCTTAGACACCTGAGTAGAAGGTTCTCTACCATCCATCCTCCCTACCCACAGGACCCCAAGGAATTTAGGAGATTATATGGACAGACTCTGGCAAGAAAATCAGCAAGTCATCTCAATCCTTATTTAAAAGACAGTGTCCTAGTGCATAAGCGCCAGCTCACATAAGGACCCTGCTCTTTAACCCTCAAGGATGAGGATCTGAGGTTAGCGCCTGGGATTTACCAACAGACCACCTTCTTGGGGAGGGTGGGGGTGTGGGGAAGGAACCCTGTATCCTGGCTCCATGGGCTCTCTTATGCTGGTCTAATAGAAGTTCTAAAGAATTTTCAGAGTAAAAGCCAAGTTTGATTTCATAATTAAAGCCCCATCTCTTTCTTATTCTCCTACCCTCATTTTGAGACTCAGTTGTCTAGACCCGTCGTCTCTGCCTCGGCGTTTCAGCTGCAGAGGTTACATGCAGGAGCTGTCCTCATTTATTACGTTCTGTGTCCATAGACTGAAGCCTGTCACTTTTACCAGCTTTTATTTACAGTTTAGGTCCCCCCCCCCCAGGGTTGAGGCTTTTCTAGATATTTCCTGAGGGTCTCTCTATCACAGCACCCAAGTCACCTTAAGTACCTGTTGCTGTCTGTCAATACAAGCCCACCTATGCCCATCTATTACTTAAAAGTAGACAAAAATAACAAGGCATTTGGGGGAGGGTCAAGACTCCAGATGCAAACTATTCCTAGGCCTGTAAATCACCCTTAGGACACTGAGTTAGGTTTCTTCTAACCCTTACATCAAAACTGCCAGCAAAACCTTTCTAGGAGTTGCTAGTTTCCTTTATTTCAAAAGTGCTACTAGATCCCAGCATGTTACTCAGAAAGAGTTAGGGTGTCGAGACTATGAACCCTGCTAAAACACCACCCAGTGCTCATGCATGTGAGCTCCTTAGTACTGGACATGCTCCCAGACGCTGTAAGCACCAGATCCCACCTAGAAAGTCCTATAAGCTCACCATTCCTACCCTTCACCCTGCCTCCAAACAAGGAAGCGACTACCTTCAGAAAAAAACAAGCTCGGACTATTCTCCTACCCAACAAGGAACAATGCAGAAGTTAGGGTGTCCCCACTCCGATGCAGCAAAATGTTATTCCAAACAAGGCTTGAATAAAGCCTAAGATTTACATGAAATTCACATGTTACAGACAATACAGAAAGAAAATCCTTTACTCTGAAAACCAATGCTCTAGAATATATTTCCAAAGTCCTGACTGAATCAGAGGAGGGCATGGAACGATCAAAGGTCAGATCTTTTTATTTCATGTAAACTGTAGTCACACAGAGAGGGTTTCACCCTGCTTGCTGTGTAAGACCAAAGTGACTTAGGGCCAAGCTAAACTTCTGTCCTTATATGGTCAAGAAAGAAGGGAAAAAAGCACCCAAGAACGGCATTAGGGCACTCCCATGGATAGCAGATAAACACAGCCTCCTCTATCTGGGCCAAAGCCTGTAATTTGTGAAGCATGTTTGTGTAGCAAGAGTCAGAGCAAGGTACTGAGGTGCCTTTGCTGTGACTGCATGGGAAAGGGGGAA